TCATCGCTAGACATTGCGAGCATTAAGCCTCAAAGGAAATCAGATCAGTAAAATTGGATCACTATATTTGGCTCTTGGATTACGGGATAATACGGTGATTTTCATTGTTGAATGACTTTTCTATTACTCATCTTGTATTCTCATAGACACTAATGAAACTTAATCTAAGAAAAAACGTCGACCCTTATTGTGTTCTCATTGAAGCAATAATTCAACTACGGAATGATAAAGTAATCTAGAGTTAATCATTATGATTTGCATATAACGCATCATTTCTGTAAGCAGACAATAAGTGATTTGGATCTAAGTGGTGAGAATATTGGTGACCTAGAAGCTGAATATCTAGCTCAAGAATTGCGAAATAATAAAGTGATTATCAATGTCTCTTGAATTTATACACGACCATTCTTTACATTCGCAGGCGCTCAAAATACTGTATCTTAGTTATAACAGAATTGGTGACAGCGGTATGCAACATATTGCAACTGCAATACAAAGTAACAAAGTAATTTGACTATCATAGTCTTTTTTAATTTCTACTCTAAACTTGATAGACATTGATCAGGCTGGAACTCCTTGGAAATCAGATCGGCGATGTTGGAGCAAAATGTTTAGCTGATGCATTAATTAATAATACGGTAGTTCTGTTTTGTCATGCAACTAATTTTCATATTGATTACCTCGTTTTCACAGACGCTTACTGTGCTGGGACTCAAAAGAAATCATATCAAATATGCAGGATTACAGCATTTAGCTAGAGCATTACAAAGCAACACAGTGATACCAGCTGTAATTTCTTTTCTCTCATATTTTTTTTTCTTTCTTTCGCAGACACTACACACAATCGACCTTATTGATAATGAGATTAATGAACAAGAAATTCAATCTTTGGCTCAAACATTGGAAAATACCAAAGTGACTTGCAGCATTTTCTTGTCTTGCACATACACATCTTTGCTACATTACAGGAGCCTCAAACAACCGACCAACAATTGAATGGAGCCATGGCGGGAGGTGCAAATCATTTACTTGACACGTTAACAATAAACACGGTAGCATTTTTTTCATCCATCAATGTGACCCTGATTTTATTTTTCGTACAGACACTTGTTAGAATTCGTTCAGGTGATGATGACATCAAGAATAGGACTGGAAGAGAACTGATATCACGTACGGAAGTAAATGATTAGACAAATGGCGAAGCTGGCCGAGAGACATTTGAAATAAACTGATTCTAATATCCTTCCACTCAATTTAAGAAGATGGAGAATACTTTGGTATTACTTAATAAAATAAAAATTATTCATATGTCAGTCATTTTTGTTCATAGTTAAGCTTTTACAATTTTATCTAATGTTATAATGAGATTTTCTTCCGTAAATATAAAATCTAGAATCAGACAATCTTATTGATTCGTAAAGGAAGTAGCGCCTATTCTCCCTGCGCTGGAATTCTTTTGGGTACGGGTGATGGGAAAAGACACATTTACACTTGCACCTACATCGACACCCATATAAGCATCTGGTTTAATACAAAATTGTTCTGAGAATTGAGTCATTGTTTTATAATATTCTGTTTGTTTATCAGTCACTCGAACTTTTGCGTACAAGATTAAATATTTCTATTGAAGTCTCAATTGATATTGGAGAGTATACTACGTAGTTATTTATTGTCGAGAAGATAAATCTCCACTTCTTTTCGTTTCTTACGTTCTGTTAAACACGAATAAATGAAATCAAAATGCATTAGACAGATGAATACATAAGAAATGAGTTTATACGATTTAAGCATGGGTACATGTTTCGAATTCAAAGACATAGGTTGCAAAAAGAAGATATATAAATTTCTTTGCTGGAGCAAAGTTAAAGTAACTTTGGAACTATGTCGAAGAATGTAGATAAAAAAGAAGTTAAAGAAACTAGGTAATTAGTTGTTTATAAGAATGAAAGAATTATGTAAAGATTTGAAAATGTAAAATATTTCATACATTCACTGATATTTTCAGCTGTAAACAAATGACATTATAGTATATTTCGAACGGACTTGATCAAAGGAATACGGTCTGCTATATTATTGAATAAGAATAAAACATAATGTTACTTATTAACATTGATGAAATATCGAGAAACTCATAATATGATTTTGTATTGTTACCTATTTAATCGAAGTTTTCAATTCTTTTTGCTGTGAAACTCAAGCTTTTGCTTATGCACACATTGAAGACTAGAAGTTGAAGAATTTTCAGTTGTGAATCATTTATTTATTTTAATTTACTCTGAAGTTTTCGATCGCCAGTATATATGTGCTTAAAGCTGTTCGAAATCCATAAGCATGATAATTCCTATTATTATAAAATATACTCTTTCCATGTCGTTAGCTTTTCATCAAAACCGACGGATCCAATGATTTATTGCCTTTTTATCAAAGTCTTTTATAATTTATCAATTAATTTAATATTTTCCGTCTTGAAGAGATTGGCGTCAACTCCAAAAAGTCTATTTTTATATACAACAGTATACTCTGATCTTCGATGATACACAACATACACAGATCAATTGTTTTTAAACGATATTCTAACAGATTTAGTTACTTAATAATGGCGATAATCAGCAAACATTGTAACACTAGGACACAATAAAGTTCATTTTATGCATACTAGACAGCATAGATTCTGTTTACAGTCGGCATGGTTGCACTTAAGTACCAATATTGATTTGCTGAAAAGTTGATAGTTGAGAAGAACGGCGAACGTTAAAATGGCTATAAGTTGATTTATACATAACTATCAATCATGGCTATAACTTTCGACTGTAGCTATAAGTGCCAATCATACAAATTTGATTGATTCTTTTGATTCTTGAGGAGCTTTAATTAAGTTGAAATAAAGGGTGAATAGAAAGTTTCGACTCCTCTCAGTAAATCGATGATATCTATAACAAACTTATATGAAGTTGCTGATCAAATTATGTCAGTTTGTAGAGGAAGATTAGAGCTATCATCTACAAAAAGATAATTCGAAATGCATAAATCTATTACAATATTGTGGTCATTTTACTAATCTTGAGTGAAAATTTTTGCATTATATTTTTTGCCAAAACAAAAGTACTGCTGTAATATATGAGTCATTAAAGTTCGTCAAAATATGGTTTTTTAGATATTTTTGCTACATATTTTTATATGGTTCGATAGAATTTGACAAGTTCTACAAGAATATGAATATCAAAAATATTTCTAATCCTGTTTCCAATACAAAACATGAAGGAAACCAGAAAGACTAATAAAAATCTCACATATCTTTGCGCTAGAGAGTATGGTTAACTTTCAATAACTTTAGTTGATAGACTGTTCCGTCTGTTGATTTATGTTTCGAGATGCAGTGTCACATATTGAAGATGAAAATAACCTTTCCAAGCTTCAAGATCAGTCGATCAACTAAAGTTATTGAAAGTTAAACGTACTCTCGCTAATCTGAGATATGCCAGATTATTATTAATCTTTCTGGTTTTCTCCAAGTTTTTTATTGGAAACAAGATCAGAATTTTTTTGATATTCATATTCTTGTTGAGCTTGTCAAACTCTATCAAACCATATAAAAATATCTGGAAAACAAAATTTCACTTTAGACATTACAAGAATATTTTTGTTTTTGCAAAAAATGTAACGTAAAAATCTCCACTCAAGATTAGTAAAATGACCATAACATTGTAATAGATTTATGTATTTCGAATTATCTTTTTTCAGATGATAGCTCTACTTTTACTCTACAAACTGACATAATTTGATCAATAACTTCATATACATTTGTTATAGATATCATCGATTTACTGAGACAGTTCGAAACTTTCTACTCACCCTTTAGTAACTACTTTTATTTAATTGATATATTTGCTAGAATAGACAAAAATATACGCATTTCAACGTTGTTTACTAGAGAGAGTCAGCATATGTGAATTCTTTTTTAAGTATTTTTTATGTATTCATTTGGTAGCTATCTTTTCTTTTCCTTTTGTCGAACATGAATATATGTGTACGACAATGTATTTTTGGTCCTATGACCAATGATAATCTTTAATTGTAAGCAGATGATTCTGATTCTTTTCTTCATTGTCTAAGATGATGACAGTTATCTCCAATATACATTGTAAGGAAATTTAGAAAACGTTGGTCGGCAAATTTATTGCATATATTTATTTCAACAAGCAAATCGCTATCAGATTATATTCTATTCACTCTTATACATTCATTACTACTCATGTCAGTATGCATATTATTCGGCTTTTTTCCTCATGCCTCAATGGATAAACCAAGCAAAGAGGCAAGAACAAAGGGAAAAGAAGGTTAGAAAAGTGGATAACAACATGTTGATGCTTCAAGTGGGCGTACTTTATTTATGAAAATGAATATAACTAAAAGTTTTAACTACGTAATTTAATGTCATGAACAATTTTGAAAATGTGTTGATTAACGATTATAATGAAACTGGTTCTGAATAAGCCACACGATTACAGCTGCAGTCAATATTTATTACTATAGTTGATAGTCATAATACTGGTTGAAATATTTTAACAGTTGCAACTTTGACCAAGTTACTCACTAATTATTATACGTTCTCAATAGTAACAGTCTAAATTCTAAAAAAGACAGTTCTCAAACATATCTCAAATTTGATATTAATGTCGTCACCAATGCAGTCTCTTTCATCCTACACATGATTCTGCTGAAATAAGTTTGAAAACGTCGCGTCGGTCAAATCAGTTTCTCATACAACTTTGTCGTTTTTCTGAAGTCAACTTCATTGATGAAATTTCATATCATAATAAATAAGATAAACATAGGATGAAAGAAACTTTATTCAAAAAAAAAAAGAATTCAAATTCAGTGAGTTTTTTTAGCAAGGAAAAAGATTTTCTGGCTAGTTCTTTCAATAGACGTAAAAAAGAATAGCTACAATGTATGTGAGAGGCTGAGGATGATAGAATAACAACCATAAATTAAAATGATTATTTGAAGTTAGTGACTTTAATTCGATTTAGATTTGCATGCGATGAAACTATGGTACGACGTTGAATCGTACGAATGACTGCACCTGCTGATGATGATCGTTTTATTCGATCAACAGAAACATGCGATAGAGGTTGTACACTTATTTTGCTTTCGTCTGAATTATTGATACTATTATACTGGATTTCGTTCAATTGTGTTGTGCTGTCAATAGTTGATGTTGCTTGATGCGGTTCGACCGACGATTTGATAAGTCGAGGAAGTTTCATGAAAGCAAAACGATTCTTTTTTGCTGGTGTTGATGCAGAAGATGGAAAGGTTATAATATCAGGAGAATCTTGTAACACAGATTGAATACGCACAGAATTTTGATTTGGCGTTTGAATTAGTATTAGTGTCTTTGTTATTTTATCTTGTCGATCGATTTCTGGAGCATATGCAGATGAATTTAAATAATGTGAACAATCGACGGATTTTCCAGATGATTGCTTGCTTCTTACATTGTCTGTCTTGTCAATAAATGTATTATCTATTCGATTAACTCTAGTGACAGTAACGGCGCTTGATGTTTGCAAGTAATTGATGATTGTGACGCTGCTGCCTTGTCTTAGTTCATGGTTTTCTTGTTGACTTTTTTCGCTTAATAGTTGTTGATGAGCTCTTCCACTTGCTGGGCTCAACTCAAAGCAGTGTTCCAAGTCATTATTTTTCTTTTGACGTCGTCGACGTCGTTTATAACCACTAAAGAAACGAGCAAAATATAGCGTACTACAGAGCATAATATATCTCTTACAATAAAAAGCACAAACAACAAAGCGAGCAGCACACAAGCAAAGCTAGTGCTAGAAATGATAGGCCGATAATTAATGGCAAATTGATTGTATTGTTTGGTTTAACTGAACGAAAGACAAAAAACAATAATGATTAGTCGAATCGCTTCAACATTTCAAAGATCCTACCAGTTGATGATGGCATAGAGGAACTTATTGACATACTGCTTTAAACCAGTTTCAATGAAAATATAAAACAAAATAAAATTCTCCATTACAAAGAAACTATCTAACCTCGTATTAACACTCGCGGAAGATGTAATTTCCATCGTTGTGATAACTTCTGTTGACTGTTGTAAATGCTGCTGTGACGTCACATCCCTAAAATGACGAATAATTGGGTGTATCGTTGTTCGATTGTCATTATTGTATGAGTTGCCTCTTATATGATCGTATATGGACATGAAAGTGCAAACAAGCCTGTATATGTACAAATGTTTTGATTCATCGGTGTTTTATTTTCAGCGAACTCTCTATTTCTCCGTCAATTTGTAAAGTCAACGAATGATAAATGTACTATTAGTGAAGTGATGGCTTCTACTGCCAAGAAATACTACTACTATAAAAGAAATTATGAAAGAAAAATGTGAGAGCACTGCATCTGTGAACACTGACTGACATTAAAGCCGTTGATATTTGCATCGTTGTCATCATTGTCGTTGATCTGTGAAGAAAAATAAGCACATAATCAATGGCGTCGTTGATCAGATGAAGAATCTTACGCAATGGTCGCTCCTGGACATAGTGGAACGCTTGTGAGACCAACAAACAATGTCACACAGTACTGATCTGATTGAACACTTGCACTTAAAATATGAAAGATAAACGCAACTCGATTAATTATTCAGAAATCAATATAGACAAATGACTCACTTATCACTTGCAACAGCACAAAAGACTTGTGAACCAACTTGATTAACCGTGGGAATCCATGTTATTTTCATTGACCATAATGATGTATTGGTAGCATTCTGAACAAGTGCACTCTTGATAATAATCGGAAAAGATAATGTAGCGATGTCAGTGATTGTTCGTTCACTACCACATCGATTAACAACAGTAAATGTCATTGTAAAATTGACACCGACTTGTGCACCTTGGCAAATACTACTGTTCAAATCAGTTAATAAAAGAGGCTTCGGTGTGCAGGTGGTAGCTGCATAAACATAAATCAAAAACTGAAGTGGAACAGAACTCAATGGAGTTGTACTGGTATTCGTTATAAAATCTTCGACCTGTAAGAAGATATGAAATTGAATGAAACAATAAAGAAAGCTATGCAAAATCAATTCACCTGTATGGCAACAAGATAATAATCGCCAGCGGTAGTTCCAGTGATTGTGAGAATGCAAGAAGTAGATAATGTGGTGCCCGTCGGCAACGATCCTGGCGGACAAGCGTTAGCACATTCTGATGATCCATTTGCAAATCGACATTGAAGATAATCATTGTCTGCATCAAGAACTGGGATTTGAATCGTTTGCTGAACGTTAACTGGTATACTTAGGTATGAAATAGATGTGGCTACAGGTGGTGTATTAATCAGTCCATTGTCCGATCTTGCACGTATGTCAATAAAAGATGAAAGACTCCAGCCCGCTGAATTTTCCAGTGCCAATGTTTGCCATCCCCCACTAGTAGCGAAAGTCGCAATGAAATAAGCTCCAGTTGTGAGATTGACTATATCGGATCGCTGACTCACTGTCAAGTCAAGTGCAGTAGAAAAATCGGTACAGTAGCCAGTAATAGGTACTTCATTACCAACATAGCCGCCTGATGTTGAACAACTAGCACTACATGTTAGATTGACTCCAGCACCCGCTTTCGTTCCTATGTTGATAGACGGTGATTGAGTGGCAACCATACTATCATTGCATCCAATTACAGAGAGTGTCCAGCTGTATGTTTGAGTAATAATGATCGAAACTGTACTACCGGCTGTGAGATTATTACTAATCGGTTTCCAAGTAATTGTGCCGCCACGAAAGTGAGACGCTTCAATTGTGAATTCGAGCAGTATTAATAACCGTAGGAAATAAATGATACACATTGGAAAGGTAATCTAATCAAAGTCATGATACTTCACTATATTATAGATTTTTTTCACTTACAGTAATTTTCTATTGTCAAGATACTTCGCTGTTGAAACCAATTCGATACTTTAATATTGAGTTATATCTGCTTGTCGCAATGTGAACTGTCTATCTTACTTGAAATGACCCTTGTTTTATAACAGTGCACTTTTTTTAATACTGATTTCTTTTGTTATTTCATATAGATTGATAATAGAGGCCATTGAAAAAACATCGATTTTATTCATGCAGTGAAAATAAGTAGAAAAAAATCAATTATACATATGAAATATAACTCATGAATTTATATATGATCTTTTAGTGATAAATTGACATAGAGACTAGTTAAAATTCAAATATGATTGCAAAATTATTCAAATGAGACAGGAGGGAATGACGAAAGAAGATTGTAATGTGATACGTCCTTATTATTGTGGACAACGCAAACTACATACGCAAATAAAGAGATTGTCGGAATTGTGGTCTAACATATTGTTAAAAACGCATATCTAGTGATGAATAAGTTGATTACATTCATTACTAGTCGAAAAGAAAGAATACTTTTTAGGTTTCAAGAAATCGTACATTTTTTTCAATTATTTCATCCCAACACTGATTCTCTTTATTTCAAAACATTACCTATCAACTTATATTGCCTTTCATTGCGCAAAAGTTATGAAATTGTATTTAAAATCAAATCATTTCTAAACTCGAAGTTCCCACAGCCTGGACATTAGAAAAATAAAATCAGCTTTGAACACCCACTATTGAGGGCATTCAGACTATAAGTGCAAGAATATTGGTTAGATGAAATATATACTTCATTACAAGTGGTCCTAATATATTTATCGAATTTTTAAAAATTTCAGGTTCTTTTTGGTTTAGTGCTAGGTCAAAATGTCGTATTTATGGATCGGAAATTGGTGAAAGATCTTCGATGAAATTTTTCATTCAGATGCATCTGCAAACTGGATTTATATTAGTAACACTCAAAGTACGACACTTGTATTTGCTATTATTTTTACCCAAAAAGTATACTGTACACGTCAAAAGTTTCGCATCACTTTTGGTTCTTGATAATAATACTAATAATAACGATCAAAAAAGATCAAATAGGACTTTATTATTTAATATATAAATGTATAGAAAGTGAAAATTATTTATTTATTCACTTGATAAAGATAGTTTTCCTACTAAGTAATGAATGAATAGAGCTTTCAGAACAATAGATCTGTTTTCAATATACTGCTAAGATGCCATCATTGGCCAATCTATGCTTCAAATAACTGTAATGATGATATTGGAAAAGGATTGGTTGATCCAAAAGCTGTGTTGATTTATTATGTTATATAATCAATAGAAATTTAAAAATATGAAATTAAAAAAAATACACTTTAGCAGTGACAAAAAATGTTGGAAAAAAATGCACTATAATATTGTTACTATATACGTTTCACTAGTTTTATTACATGGATTAAGTGTTATTGTTGGTGACTGCAAGTACTTTCTACTATTAATTAAATAGCAAATGATGAAAGAACAAGAAAAGTAAAAGAAGTCCATAATCAAGTGTTAACTATATTATTAAAGACGCATTATTGTATCGATGACCACAGAACTCTCGCATGATACATCACATTTATCTTTTCCTTCGAATTTTCTTTCTTATCCTCTGCCTATTGTCCTTTTCTTCGCTCACGTTTCTCTGTATGGCATCTCCCTCTGTTCACGTTTCTTGAAAGTGAGAGTGAAGGAACGATGATAAAATATTATAGAATATGATTTTCGATATTCTTTTCAAATTCATTGTCTCGTCCTCTATGTACAAAAACAAACTTAAATTGACATGTATGTTCGACGATCTTATGATTTCTGTTTTGGATATTTGTAGTATATAAAATTATTAATAAAACCTCACAACTATTTTATTGATTATCACTTGTATCAATGACACATATATTTCTTCTTATATTGTATATAAATTATTCAGACAAAATGATCAGCAGTGTCCGAAAAAATATTATAGTTGTAGCAATCTTCAATGACATCGATTTCAGGATGAATCTATGACAATCGCTTTTACAATTAGCTTTCGAAGTTATTTATTCTAAAGAAAGGTCATCCTCGACTTTACTATTCTCCACAGTCGATAATAATTCCATACATTTATCAGTCAAAGCGGTTTAATTTGTAATTCAATAAAACATTCTGCTCATATGCTTCAACCGTTGGACTATCCACACTTATATGCGTAAAAAATCTCCGAAGCTCATTGTGGTGGTAATTTAACGAATTATGACGAAATAGACCCATTAATAAACCTGATTTTATTAAGTTAGTCTCGAAACTAGATAATTATACATTATTATCTGCTCATAGTGCACCATCGTAGGTGAAAGCAGGCATTTATCCTCAACATTAATGTTTTATTTGAAAAGAAAAATCAATAAACGACAACGCTAATGCATCAGTTATAGCAACATATCCCAACTGTTCTCCTAGATCATTGCCGACTAAATTCAATGTTCCATTTTGGATCCATCATTCAGCACCAACAGATGTAAGCATCATCAAACAAAAGAAACTAATAAGATGTTTGCCAGTGTCAAATTACATACAGGTAGTTAAAGGTTGATCTTTCGGTCTCTAGTAGACACGAATTTTTTGGCATTCTTTTGTTTTTAGTCGAAATACGTTTCGCTCAACTTATGACAATCATTTATTTCCTCATGTTTATAAAAATTTTCTACATCAACTCTTGAGGACTAGATAAGATAATACATCAACAACAATTTGTCCAATCAATGGTGCAGTACAAAAGCTGGCTCAAAGTTTAACAACATCAACTAATTTCAAGCAGTCTTCATTTGCTCGTAAAAATTCAGCTAATATTTTTTCTAACTCCATCAAAAACAGGGACTATGTTCATTTATGTACAGAAAGAAGCTCTTTGTTTGCTTTTGAGAAAGTAGTTACAAATTTTTTTACTTCAACCAGAAACTTATTACAGGACAATGGGAATTATACGTCAGCATGTTAGATCTCAACGGATTATCATTAATCAACATCAAAAAAGAAACAATAAAACTCAATAGCATAGCAACCACAAAAGGTATTGAGAAAGCCTAATCAACAAACAAAAGCTAAAAATTCGTCGAATTATTCGCATATAATTTCTTATAGCCGATTTTTTAACGAAGAATATTCGTTTCAAATTTGCAACTAAGCAATGCAAAATGCAAAGGTTTCAAGTGATTCATGAATTGGACTCAATTCTTTTTTTTTCTGGAAATAATTTAACTTTATTATTTGTCCAAACGAAAATAGGTTCGAGCAAGATTCTCATCAACAACTGTAATATATGAAATTGGACCAGAAAAAACTGAAACTCTTGTCTAGTTTTTCTTTTAATCAAGGTCTCATAATGTTTTTTAAGATTATAACGAACTTGTATTTTTATATAGTTCAGTCGCTATTATCTCTTCATATAATATGTACACATTGATGTTCTTGATAAATAATAAATGAACAATTTATTAGTTTTATAAAAAAAAAAGAAGCCTTCCTTCATCTCGATATTTATTGAATACCCCTTTCTATAAAATAATACCTGTAGAATGTGATATTTTTTCCATAAGACACAATTCAATAGAGCAGTACTAGAAAGAGCTCACTGTATGTGATGATAATAAACGTCAATGGATTAATGTTACGATAGAAAAAATGAAATAAATATAAAGTATTAGTCGTTAAATAATTAAGAACAATTAAATGTGGGTGTGGTTGTGGATGAGGACGTGGAAAGTTTTTATAATGATGAGTTTTGTCTCTTCAATTCCTAAGTTGATCAAAAAATAAATAAAACTAAGTAGACTCATGTCTCATAAAATATCTTCATGAGATATGTCAACATCAGAATTGACTACAACTATCAAATATGTAGTTCAGCTGTTTCTGGTACGGATAGTCATTTTTCCTCTTGACATTTAATAGTTTAAAAAGTTAGAAATCAATGTTCAAGCAGTTCCACATCTGGAAATAACCTATAAATAAGTCAAATATCAGAAGCAATGCATTGAACTTCATTTTCATGATCAGACAAAGTTTTACTCATACACAGGAAAAAATGATTGACTACAACGGTCAACAAGTTGTTTAATTATATTATAGGCGGAATTTTTCATTTCTTTTTCTTTTTTGATAAAAAATCCTATGAACAAATTATACCATTATTGATCAAATACTACAAGAATAAAGTAAGAAACAATTACAAAGAGAATATTTTTTGAACGAAATACGAATGAATTAGCATTATTAGTTTCAAAACATTGAAAAAGTTCGACATGAATATTTTCGATAGTATTATAAATCTGTCGAGTTAAATTAATCGGTAGAGTCGTATCGGCATTCGTAAGTACAATAACACCAATATTTTGCTTTTCATTAACTAACATTAAATGTGTCATACCTGGTACACATCCACTATGACCTACATATTGATGACCATTGCTCAGTGTTCTCCAATGCCAACAGAGTCCATATCTTCGTGATGGAAGTTGATTTGTAGAGTTACTACTCAAATTCGTACTATAAGGACGAATAAGACCGCCACCAACTACGGTTTTCATTTCAGTAATTGATTGAGAAGAAAGGAGTGAAGATCCATTGTTGATAAACATTCGAAGAAAAATAGATAAAGAATGAGCTGACATTCGCAGAAGACCGGCTGGATAACTACTAAAACCAAAAAAGGGAAAACATAACCATGTTGAAAGATTACCCTGAAAAGAGAATTATTCTTAATAAAAAAAACAACAACAATCTATTATATATAAAACACATTTACCTCCATTTGTATAATATTCAATTGTGGTACTTCTTGGTTATATTGTTGGAACGAAGATTCATTACAAGCATATGCATAATGTTTAACGAGTTTTTCTGTGTTTGAAAAATCAGCTAAGCGGATACCAGTTTTGCGAATATCAATACTTAATGGTTTGAAAATCTTTTCTCTAACATATTGATCATAGGACATATTGGTGACTCGTTCAACAACTAGTGCAGCCAACGATGTACCTTCATTGGAATAAAGCGTCACATTTCCTGGTGGTCTTGGTAACCAATTTGATGTGTTCGGGCTCAAAACTTTGAAACACATATCAGCTAAAGTTTCTTTAGCAAATACACTATCACCTGGTTGGTAGACAGTGTTCTGCAATTTTTCATCAACAGCAATCGATGAAGAATGTGAAAGTAATTTACGTAAAGTGATCGAGTGATTTGGATAATCTGGATGAAAAATTTTTCGATTACGTTCTGACAAATATTGGTTAATATCTGTGTCAAGATCAACGAGCTTTTTTTCGACTAATTGCATGACAGCAACAGCAATAAATGTTTTCGAAATTGAAGCAAGTGAAAAAATTGATTCATGTACATCCATAAGTTTTGGTGGTGATAGAGAATGATAACCAAAAGTGTCTTCGTAAAGTATATCGGTAGTATTGACAACAACAATGACTGCGCCGGGAATATGAACTTTGAGAAGAGATTCTTCGATCATTTGTCGATTTGGGCAGTTTGAACTTCTGCTAACACTGACAAAGAAAGCAGCAATAAATACTAATGAAAACATCATGTTTTGTTTATATAAGACAAATAAAAGTCTATTGTATATCACTACAAGGAACATGAACAGAAGAAAAAAAAGTTCTAATAACGTTTATTTGTTATTATTAGGTTTCCATTAAACAATACAAGCATATATATATATATATATATGGCTAAAAATTGTCTTGATAGTCAAAAGAAAGGAAGGAGGATAAATAGATAGATTGGATTTTGATAAATGGTATTTGAGACAAAATTTATGAGGTGCTGATCGGATACGTCAATCGTCACTCAGCCTTGAATAAACAATTCAATTAATCATTGCTATTAGTACAACCGTATGAATATCCGACAGCCTGTTTGTATCTGTTGATAATTTTTATCTATAGAATATTGAATATAAAGAAACTCGAAATTTTATTTTATTAGAATAAAGGTTTCTAAAATTTTATAGTGTCTGAACAAAATTCATCAGTAGTCTTTTTTTGATGAGAGAACAAAAAAGTACTTGATGTAATGACTTCGAACTTTATCTAAAAGTTTTGAGTCGGATATAGAGCTTTAGAAGAAAAATTGAATCATTGAAAAATAATCAAAAATGCAACTGAATCAATGGTATTATTTATTTATTTTTTGTTCATATTAAAACTATAGAGACAATACATTTCTCAATACTGATCAATCAATATTTTCCAGACCTGAGTTTTGGACTCCAGTCATGTTTATTTTCATATCCATGATTGAATTTAGTATTTAGCCTAAACGATATAATCACAAAAATCACTCTAACTCTTATATTTTTGAAGAACAAAATAAAATATTATAGAGTTCTGTTTACCTCTTCATGAAAAGAAACGCTTTAAAATGAATATGCTGAAGTTTAACCCTCTTCACTGAAGAAATTTGCTGATAAATTAATATCTGATCGATAAATTATTAATTCAATAAACTTTATTCATTTAAACTTTCTTTTTCTATTTATTACATATATGAATGAAAATATATGATTGTTTTGCTGTAATTTTATCTTACCTGATGTACCTGATTATATCGTTTATCATCTAGTCTGATTCTGTCTGATGTCAATTTTTTGCATCGAAGATGAACAAATAAGTCGCATGCATTACTTGAATAAAAATATGAGAAGAAAAACTATACACTGAGAACAGATGTGAAATTGATTCAGAATGACGAAATAAATCGATAGATGTCATTTTATATTGAATATTTCTCTTAAGAAAAAGTCTTGAAAAAAAGATAATACGCATTTTAATGTTCACTACAGTATTTATAAATACTCTCGACAATCGAATAGAGCTTATATTTAGGTAAAGTTTGCAATTTTTTTTTACAATGAATGATATTTGGAAATGCTTCGAAGTACTGTATCGATCCGTAGTACATAATCGTTGATTCATTTAGAGTAAAGGAATTTCGTATAGTTAATCAGTTATTTTTTTTTTTGTTATTTTCATTGCTAATAATAGATATTTCAGTTATGTGGTTAATGCTTATATTTTCTATACCATGAAAAAAAGCACACATGTCAAATATAATATTCTTCAATTGTAAGCTGACTTGTAAATTAAAAATAAAAAAGCACTTTTTGTTCGAGCATATTAATAGGAAAAATATTTTTCTTGATGAATTTGCTTTAAAATAATTTTCTTATGAAAAAAGTTTTATTTTTCTTGTAAAGAAAAAAAAGTTTTTTTTCTATGCCCGAGGACAGAATTGAACTGTCGACCCCTGGTTTACTAGACCAGTGCTCTAGCCACTGAGCCACACGGGCGTGCTTCATATACATTTTATTTTTTATGTCATTATTTTCTTTACATCCACTGCACGCCTCTTAAAACATACAAGCATTAATCAAAATGCAACAAATGTTTGAGTATGCTAGCATCATAAAATAAAAATTGTATTCAGATCAAAAAAAATAGAGATTTATTATTATTATATCAAATGACAAAAAAAAATTCAAATCACCGAATACAATTAAAAATAAAATAAAATAAAATAAAATAAAATAAGATCATTTATTTTACTTAGTGGCATTCACAGCCTTATGAATAATTGAGCAACATTCAAGCATTTGCTCTTTTGTTATATTCAATGGTGGAGCGAAACGTATTTTATCACCATGGGTTGGTTTTGCTAAAAGACCATGATCGCGTAAATGCAAACAAAGTTCCCATGCATCGTGTCCTATAGACAGAAAAAAAGCATACAAAAATGATTTAAATCATATTGCAATCACATACGTGAATCGATAACAATTGCATTAAGTAAGCCTTTACCACGAACTATTCTAACTCTATCTTTTGGTAATCGATTTAATTCTTTACGTAATAATTCACCCATTTCGGCAGCGTTCTCAATCATTCCTTCTTCCATTAAAACCTAAAAACAAAGAATTTTTCTTTCAAAAATTTCTCAAATTCTTTTTTCTTTATTATGAATATTTACTTTAAGAGCAGTAATAGCAATACGAGCGCCTAGTGGATTTCCACCAAATGTTGAGCCATGTGTACCAGGTGTAAATACACTCATGAGTTTATCATTTGCTAAAACAGCTGATACCTATAAAAGAATAGAGAACATACGTATATTCATTGTTTTATTTACGCAAACTTACTGGATAGAAACCACCAGCTAATGCTTTACCAAGAATGAGAATATCGGGTCGAACATTTTCATGATCACATGCCAATAATCTATGACAATCTTAAAGCTAAATCGATTAATTAATTAAATATTCTTACTTTCCAGTTCGACCAAGACCAGTTTGAATTTCATCGCCTATCCAAAGAACATTATGTTTCGAACAAATATATCGAACACCGGCTAGATATCCATCATTAGGCACATATACACCTACGAGAAAACCATTATTCATATTCAATCATAATCAACAATTCTACTGACCAGCTTCACCTTGAATAGGTTCAACCATAAATGCGCAAACACGATTATCTCTGCATGCTTCCTAAAGATAAAAACAAAAATCTACTAATAAATTTTTATTTCACTTAAACTATCTACTTCTAATTCTTTTAAATTATTATATGGGATGATTTTAAAATTAGGCATATATGGTCCATAACCTTCATAACATGATGGATCCGTTGAACTTGATACAGCCGCCAATGTACGACCCCAAAAATTATTTTCAGCAAAGAGTACAATAGCTTCATTATTTGGTATACCTTTAACATTATATGCCCATTTACGCGCTAATTTAATAGCTGTCTCTCCACCTTCGACACCTTTTTAAAGAAGTCATTTTCATATTTGTTCATAAAATAAGATCGAATAAACTCACCGGTATTCATTGGTAATACTTTATCATAATCAAAAAGTTTACAAATATACTCTTCAAATTCTCCGAGTACATCATTATGAAAGGCTCGAGACGTTAATGTTAATGTTTTAGCTTGTTTTTTCATAGCATCAAGAATTTTCGGATGACAATGTCCTTGATTAACAGCTGAATAAGCCGAAAGGAAATCAAAATAACGATTTCCATCGATATCCCATACATATACACCTAGAAAAATCATTGATTTATTCTATATGATAATTTTCATTTTAAGCATATACCTGATCCACGTTGAATAACTACAGGTAATGGATGGTAATTTGCTGCTCCGTAACATGCTTCACGATCTATAACCAATTGAGTTTTAGGTGATACAACGTTTGCTGTTGATTTAAGTGATGATGAACTTACTGAAGCTATACATCTATTGAGATTCGATTTTGAAGATGATAATAATCTACGATACATCTAGAACAATCAGTTCAATAAAAAATTTTATATGAAAAATATCACTTAATATCTTGCTTTTCAATATGTTTGAGAAATTTCCGGAACAGGAAGCGGAACCGCAGCTCCGACTACAATTCTGTTTAATAAAAATACAAACAAAAAGTTCCAATGTCAATTGCTAGTCGGTGTCCTGAGAATCAATGAGTTGGTAATACTATATTAAAGAACTAACATTTATGTTCTTTTTCGAGATTGTTCCTGTCTATTCTTTATTAAAAATCCAAATAATTTCTTTAAAACATGAAATAAAGAATAACCTAAGTTCAATCAAATTTTGCGATGAAAACGCTTGCAGTTTCATAGGTGTTAAACTGTTTTTTGTCATGAGCTTCAATCTGTTTAAGAATTATTCATTTCACTAAAAATAAATCTTTTACACATTAGAAATATTAGTGGGCAAAACGCCTAAAGTAGATTTATAATACTAAAAAATAGTTTTCTACTCTTTCAATAGGTACACAAAATGAGATAATTATCTCATTTTTTTATTAACATTCGAATTCAATGTAGTGTATCAATAGAAAAAATTCTTTCGTTAATACCATACAAGAATGGAAAGACCAAGATGACATTGTCGTAGTAAAAATATCTATCTCAGCATAACTGTATAGTTTGATGATGCTCAGTAGAGTTTCTAGATAACCATACAGCTAAAAATATTAATAACAGGAATTTGAGTTCACATGACTTACTACTTACTAGAAGAATATCCGAAAATACAGCATAGATATTCTCAATTGTGTTTACTCATTAGAGTAGTTATTCTTAAAATAGAATCTTTGGTTCCATCTTTCGAAATGATAACATATCAAAAGATGGAACAATTTTTCATGATGGCAAACACCAATTAAGATTTGAGGTAAGAGAAATTGAAGATTCGTATTCTTGTTCTGTTCTCGGTAACATTTTACTTGTCGAGTCATCTAGGTCTAACAAATTTCTTTACACAAACTTAGGTAAAATACTGATTTGTGGATTTTTTTCACCTGGCAAAGACAAATGTTTCGTTGGTAAAGTTGATTATTATCGAACAACAAAATTTTTCTCTGGGAAAATGAAGGCAAAACAAAAAAACAGGATGCGCTTTTCTTGTTTGTTTTGACTCTTGTTTAACCTACTTCTTTACAATCCAATTATGACATATATATGAAGAGGCCGCTATAAACAATGTTTAAAAGTTAACCAATCTTCGATTGGAACAGACAATGGTTGTCAAATTACATACGGAATAAATTTGTTCGATAACGAAGAAAGAAAAAACATCTAGAGAAATAAAAGACAAATGGTTTCATTAGCAAAAAAATCACCGGAAGAACGATTGAATATTTGTCGTAAATATTATTTAGGTGGTTTTGCTTTCTTACCACTTCTTTGGCTTATAAATGCTATTTGGTTTTATAAACAAGCATTTAAAGTTGAACCATATCCTCAACAAGCAGAAATTCGAAAATGTAAATATAAAAAAAAAAAAAATTTCTTTTTGTTGTTCATCTTGGATTTAAATTTTGTATAGATGTGATTCGAAGTGCAATCGGTACACTTATTTGGTGTATTATTATTATTACATGGAATATTATGTTTCAAGTATTTCGTACTAAAATGGGTTCTGCTGGAGATTATTTAACATTTGTTGTACCACGAGGATACTATTAATTTTATTTAAAATTTTGTTTTTCTGTGTAATTTTAATTTAATTGATTTTGAATTTTTTTGCTCCGTTGTGAAATTTTTTCAGATACAAAAAAAGAGAATAATTCATGTGTTCGTTTTAGATAATTATGGTGAGTGGAAGATTAATTAAATTGAAATAAATTATTGATTGTTGTATTCAGAGTACAGCAGTTGCTATTGGACTTGGTTTAGCTGTTGTTGGATTTGCAGGTAATAGATGAACTTTGTTGATTTTTTTATGAGATTTTTTTAAGGTCGTTATCTCGTTCGACATGGGAAAATAATAGCAGAAAGTTTGAATAAAACAAGTGGAGTTATCGCTGAAGGGCTTTCAGTAAGAATGCGTATCAATTCTTTGTTGTTGTATTTTTTTTGTTTATTTTTTTTACATTTCAGTCAAAATATTATAAAGGTGGATTTGGTAAGAATTCGAACATTAACAGTGATCTTTTGAGATTGGTTTTTTTTTATGGTGATAAATAGATCCAAAAATGAATCGACGTGAAGCAGCACTTATATTAGGTGTTAGGTAAGATTTTGAGTATGCATTGATTTTTTGTTTTTTTATTTGTTTTATTAAACTTGTTTTTGTTTCAAGTCCAACAGCAAATAAAATACGAATACGTGATGCATATAAACGATTGATTGTTCTCAATCATCCAGATCGAGGTAAATGTTAAAATATCAATAACAGATTTGTCTACATATATATATATATACATGTCCTTTTTTCTATATCAAGGTGGATCACCGTATATTGCTGCAAAGATTAATGAAGCAAAAGATTATTTTGAAAGTGGTGCCAAATGAACTCTAGCAAAACATCCTGTTTTTTAGCAATCAGTCAAGTTTTTGTTTGATTGGAAAAAAAGAAGTTCCTGTATTTTGTTTTTGTATTTGATAAATTTTTTCTACGATTTATCAATACTGTTTGGTTTAGTGATGACATGATTTGTGTTTGGAAATAGTTTTCTTGATTACAAAGAGAGATTACTTCATATCGGTTGATTACTTCTTAGAAATATTTGCTTATTTAATTCATTCCTGCATGCATTTTAGAGAAATCGAAAAAACTCACATAGAGATTTACAAAGACTCGAGTTTTTCTTATTTGAATGGGGAGGGGAGGTCGTCATGGCTAAGTGGCTAAGTATTGTTGCAAATCAGCTAACAGAAAGCAACGAAAGAACTTTTGCGTGACTTATGAAAAGTAGAATGGCCGAATATAAAATCGCGAATTCTTTACTTTTAACCAAATAGAAAGTAACATTTAATCAGATTTAAGTAGAGGAACGAGTCCTACATCTATAATCGTTCACACCCTCGCGTGAGAGACCAAAAGCATTTGTCGAAACGGTTTTCACTATTATGCACCGTTGTTGAAAAGCATTTTCGGTATTGCGCGTTTTCTTTTCATTGAAGAGATATCACATGAGTGGCTGCGTTGTTTGACACATAACCACAAGGTACTATATTCAAAACTTAGTGCCACTAGCCATGGAATGATCCTGGATGAGTCAGTGACGGCTATTTGTTCTCCGATATCATGCTGACTATGTTGTGACATATATCTGTTCTTGTGATTAGTTAATATGTATAGGAAATTCAAGCAATTGAGCAAAAGTATTCTACATCCAGCTGGCCTTCTGTCCAGAGCTATAGCTAGTATTAGTTGTATGAAAGATATCATGCTACTGAGTCTGCCGCTAGTCAGTTCTGCGCCAGTCAAGTTGGAAAATTTGCAAAGAACTCAGAAGTTGTGAAACCAAGAAAAAAAAACAATATGTGCAGGGTAAGCTCTTTTTCGTACTCTACACTTGCACTGACGAGGAAATCACCTGAGGTGATACTTCGCGTTTGAGATGAAACTCCAGTCATTACGTAGGATTTGTTGAGACTAGAAACAAACCTAGATCGATCCTTGTCCATGTGCTATTGACCTGAAGCTTTCAGCCAAAAAGAAAGACTTCTTCCCATAATATCAAATCCATAAAAACCGAGATCATCTTTTCTTTCGGTACAATATCAGTGTGTTTTTTTGGATTTGATATCTCGAGTAAAGATCAATCCCTTTGACTGAAACTTTTAGAAGATTCTAATAATTCCAAGACCTGTCTATGAATAAAGTTGTAGGCCAAAATTCGTTTATTTGGTTCTTATATAAATGCCGTCCCAAAAATCAAAACTCCAGTGTAACACTCACAACTCCAAAAGGGCAACGTATGGGCAAGAATCCTTCTAAGTTTCTTCTAGTCTCAACAGGTCATACGTAATTACTGAGATCTTTGTCTCTAACGTGAGGTATCAGTTTAGGCGACTCTGTGAGAGAAATTTTCTAACCCTTATCTTATCCAAAACGGCGGCTAATCTTATGCGTCTGTATCCGTGAGCTATTTCTTCTTTGTGATGCGTGTTTAATATGAAGGATTCTTTTTTCATTTTTCATTTCAATTAACTAGAATAAATAGTGAATGCCTTGTCAAGAATAAAACTTATTTTTTTTCAAACATCGTTCAGTTGTCTTTGATAAGTCATCATTGTTCAAGTAAAAGACTTAAGTTGAAAAAAAGAAACTAACGCTTCACTTAAACAGAAATTTCATTATCATAAGTACTATTAGGCTTTTCTAATACTAAATATTAGTTGAAAATGACAAAACATTCTATGAACTTAGAACTCTATATTTCTTGGTGCATGGCAACCATCAAGATTTTTAAGATAAATAATACATAACAATTGTCGTCAGGAAAAACATTACTTATTTTTTCCGGTTTGAAAAATAAAGATTCATTCAAGCCTTAATAAAAAAAAAATTCTTTCTTATAATAAAATTACACTTAAAACATTGAAAAGACGTCTCTTGTTTTAAATAAAGAACTAAACAATTCATGTATTTTTTATTGAGTTCAATGAACTTGTCAATAACGAATAAGAATTTATAAGATAGAAGAGTGCTATCATACATGTAGTTTGTCCTTCTCAATGATTGGTGTTTGATTCATTTATTTTATTAATTTGTCATATCTAAATATCTATGTGAATAATGTATAACATATTTCTATTTTGTTTTTCTTTGCAAAAGATAAATCGCATGCAAAATAAAATTACTATGTGTGCACTATCATCTGTTGTTGCTTTTTATTTACTTGCTAAGGAAAAAAAAGAGAAAAGAAGAACGACACGCAATCAAAGGGACCTTCCTTGCTTTCATTCCCTATCGTTCTTTTTTTTTATTACCAACCAGTTAACGATGCAAACTATGTCTTTTTTTTTCCTCTTCTCCATTTCTTATTTCTCGTTCTTTTATAATGCCTTCATTCTCGTCAGATGATCATCAAAAAAACAGCGCCTAAGCATTTTCTTTATAGCGATTCATATACACGATGACGTGTCAGTTTATCGTGCAATTTTGTGTTGAATACAGTCATTTGATACATATATATATATACATTATGTAAATTTTTCAATCTTTTTAGATAGACTTCTGTATTCTCAATCATGACGATGAAACGTATTCAACCAGATTGGTCCTTCAAAATTTTACTTATTGGCGATAGTGGTGTTGGTAAAACATGTTTAATGTTTCGATTTGCTGGTATGTCTATGATTGTTGATATTTCTTTTTAATTACAAAAGTTAAAGCGTTTTAATCTTCATATATAATAAGAAATTGAGATCAGTTGTTTTTATAAGAAAAGGTCAAGGTTTAAGTTATATTTTTTATTTTTTTATTTCTATGCCAGCATGATGTAGTAGTCGCGTTGTATAACTAGAAAATTCTATAGGATTTTGAAGCGGAAGAAAGAGTCAGAATTAATGAATACACCAAGCGAAGAAAAGCAGCTTGTAGTTTTCTTTTCAAATTATTATTTACATGCATAAGGTAGAAAAGAATTAATTGTAACATATTGTTGGATAAAAAAAAAACATATGTTCTTCGTTAAATGAAATTTTTCTATTATTAAGACACTACTGAACTAACAATTATATCGAATTTTATAATAATGCCTTACATAATACTTTTTGTTCTCTAATAGATAATATGTTTGCCGAAACATTTACACCTACAATAGGAATTGATTTTAAAATAAAAACACTACGTGTACGAGATAAAACAGTTAAGTTACAACTTTGGGATACTGCAGGTCAAGAGAAATTCTTCAATATTACTCGATCTTACTATGTAAGTTGATTTCAATATTCATATTTTTTGAATTAATTCATGTGGCCTTTTTTTTAAAAGCGTAATGCTGATGCAATACTTCTTGTTTATGATCGTACAGATGCAAGTTCATTTCAAAATATAGCTAGATGGATGAGAAATATTGATGAAAATGCTCCTGATGATGTTATTCGAATATTAGTTGGTAATAAAAGTGATCTTCATGATCGTCTTATCGTTTCAACTCATGAAGGAAAATTATTAGCTGATAAATTTCGTGTTGATTTTTTTGAAACAAGTGCAAAATCTGATACAAGTCCAACTGTATCAAAAATGTTTTATTTTCTAACAGAAAAATTACTTGATCAAAAACAAGAAGCTGCAGCACGTGAACAACAATCATCATCATCATCAACACATCAAACAGGAAATATTAGTTTAACAAATAATCCATCAGAATCTACGTATGGAAAATTACTTGGTTGTTGTTCATCAACCAGGACTGTTGACGATTGAAATTTTCTTTTTTCTTTTTCGATTCATTTGTCTTGTACATATAACGTATATACATATATATATTATAAATGTTTACAGTCTAGCATTCTATTGTTCTCTGAAACTCTAATGTATTGTTTTCTGGATGTAATTTATTCAAATGAAATTTGCTATATATTTTAATGTCATCAAAAAATGTTGACAGTAGACTTGAATGTGACATAATAGTATTTTAGTTTGAGTTGTCGAGTACTTTTCACAGATAAAAATATACGGTTCATCTAGTTAAATACTTGAAAGCATACACAACAATAGATAGACAAAATTCGATATACTCGAGTATTGTCACGAGGAGTTAACTAATCTATTACGTTATAGATAGTAAAAACAAATGAATCATGCAATTCTTTGTATAAAAAATCTCTAGAATTTGTAGAGTTTTATTGGTTTAGTCCTTGTTGAATCTTAACATATTAATATTGAATGGTGCAGATATTCATTTTTTGCTGTATGAATAATTTCGACTGAGAAATTAGCAGGTGCTTATCTGTTGTTAGTTGGATAATACGTCATTTGCATCAAACTCAATGACACTTATCAATATGTACTATCATCGACAGATACTTGTGTAAATTTCATTTGTCATGTCCAAACAATATATATTGTTTGCTGCTCATTGTTTATAGAATGGGACAAAATGTTATTGTATAGATTTATTATTGTATTTCGTTAGAAGTATAATAGAGAGAAGAAAAAAAAGGAGTCGATTTAAGATTCATTTATTAACCTTAACAACTAGAGAAAAATCTTAACCTACATCCTTTCGATTCGATCTCGACCTTCTCTAGCTAAACTTTTAGACTTTTGTCGAATAACTCTTTCATCTTGAGATAAATAACTATTTGAATAATATGAAAGGTGTACTACTATGCTAAGAACTTGTCGGTTATTAACATTTGTTTCTATTAAATATTGATTCTATATTATGTAACAATAATAAAACAATCGATATAAATCTTCTCAATTGAAAGTAATTCACTCTATTCAAATAAAATCATTCATAAAATATTACAAAGATGCTAGCAGTGTAAAAAAAAATAGAAGTATCACATTGGCATATTACATCACAACAATTTATATAAGCTTCTAAACACAACTTGAAGAACGAAAAATTTCTTTTAATACACAACGATTTGCACTTATTTTCAGTGTACTTATGAATAACGAAAGAGTACAATTTATTTATTAAAACATCAAATTATTTTGCCTTTCTACTTTCTATATTCAATGTTTGCAATAAAAACAATATTTATTTAGTTGTTTATTCGAACAAAAAAATTTCCTCATATAACTACCTGTTCTTTGATTAGTCATTGGACAAATACTAGTCGACAGAGCTTCTTCAACATCAAGTATGCGTTATTCTTTTCACTTCAAGTACTCTTTCGATACATAAAACATGGTGAATTTTATAATCGTCCTTTTACTTCAGAATTATGCTGTACTGTTTCGTTCACGATTAATCTATACAAATCATTCTTAATCTATATGTTTCAATACAATTCTTCGGGCATATATTTTATGTATTATAATTTTAATAAATTGAGCAATGAAAATATTATTAAACCAAGAATTAATCGCATTCAACAAAATTCAATACTTATATAAAAAAATTTGTATTTAATATTTCATATGAAATTAGAATGGATGATATTCTGACATGGATTCAGCAATGATGAATTTCACTTTTGTACAACTTTTTACTGAGTACAAATTAGTGTATATGAGACCGTGGTAAATCTCAAATTATGATAAGTTTGTATTAAATTTCTAATTGTTGATTTCTGACTGTCGAAGAAAACAAAAATCAAAACTGAATAATAGAAATATTACTTCAGTGATACTATAAAATTTTAACAGGCACAGTAAGAGTAACTATTCGTTTCACTATAATTCTGTACTCTTACCCTCATTTTTAAGATAGTATATTTTTTATTTCTTTGTCATTTTCGAAATGATAGGATTTCAAAGAAGAAATATTTATAAAAATTTAGCTGCCATGACTGTATTGTTTGACACATATCAGCAAAGTGTTGTGTTCAAGCCTCAGGAGAAATGTCGATCCTAGATAGCAGACAAAGCTTATTATTATCTATCTCCGTGAAAGAAATACTCTCTAACGTTGATTTATTTATGAGAAAATAAGTTCAAAATAATGCGATTTTGTCAAGAGGAAAAAAAGTGAAAATTCTTCTTTATACTCTAAGGGTAGATAAAAGTTAATCTTCAGAATTTTTTAGTTATTTTAAGTCTACTATTCAATATGTCCCACGAGCATATTATTTTGAATTCATTTTATTTAAGTCAAATCGACTGACGCAAATTGTTCTGTATGATTATACTTTTGTTTGCTTCTCTTACATTTAATCATTTCTGATTGATATCGTACAACTATATATAAAAATCTACACATTGAATTATTCAGTTTAATTGAATTATCAATGCAATAGTATCTGTATCAGTTATCATGAAACCTTGACTTGATGTTCTACAAATGCATTCAAGTAAGAAATTTGTGCTTCGATTAATCATGATCATACAATTTGTGTGTAGCATCAGAATACTTCTTCTTGATTTTCATAATTGTCTATATCTTTAAAAAATAAATGCTCGTATAAATCAAAAACTAGCAAAGCTTGATCAAGAACTGGATATGTTTTTTAGCGTGAGATTGAGAAATCAGAAAAACGACATTAACTCAAATAGAAAAATCCATCGATTTCTAATTAAAATATGATTTAGATTAAATCTAAAGAAAAATATTTAAACGAGATACATTGGACGGCTTCGCCCTAGTCAAGTCACTTATGGTTATTTGTCTCGAATCACCTGTCCAATAGCATGCTGGTCATGTTGTGACGTACACCTACTCTTATGGTTAGTTAATGCATATGGAAAGTTCAAGAACTCTGCGTCATACCAGCTTTCTCTTCAAAGCTCATAAGTATTAATTCTAGGAAAGATATTGGGCTATTGAATCTATTGCTAGGCAGTATCCCATACTCCAAAGCAGGAGTATTCCTTTTCCTCTCTTATAGAAATTTTGCAAGATTAGTACTATTGATTAACATTAACAGTTGCAAGTAATGAAAAAGAAGATATGATTGATTTTCGAAATTTAATAATGAAAGTTTTCACATATGATGATTTTTAAAAAGAAAATATTGATTTATAGTTTTGCTCATGTCATGATGATAAACAAAACACAAAAAAAAATATATGTAAGGTATACAAGCACTAATTATCGCATTTATATACACAGCGAAAAAAATGAAACGATTAACTAGACTGTTCGCATAAAAAACAGACAATAGTTTGAATAAAGAATCTTTTTTTTCTTTTCTTTTCTTTTATTCTTTTATATGATTGCGTAGTAAACGGAAGAATTCTTCACGACTTTCAGGTGTTAATGCTAAGACTTGTTGTAAAATTTTATGTGGCGATGCAGCACGTGCAAATGTTGATATATAAACATTAGTAAATAAAGCCATAATTATTTGACAATCAAAACGATCCTATTGAAGACAATAAAAAATGAAGATTCAATTTTTTGTAAGAAAACAAAAACAAAAAAAGGTAAACGAATTAAATTTTACCATAAATCCTCCATGTCCTGGTATAGTTGTAGCAAAATCTTTAATACGAAAAGCTCGTTTAAATCCGCTTGCAAAAAATCCTCCAAATGGTCCAATACTTGAAGCAAATAATGATAGTGTTAATGAATGTAATTGAAATGGATATAAATCAAGCGTACGTTTCAAGAATGAAAATGGTTTTGGCATTAAATATGTTGTCTTTTGAAATAATGGTAATGGTATACATGATGTTGATAAACCCATAATTTCTTCATTATATTCTAATGGACATACAAATGATTGATAATTACTTAATATTCCAGCAAATATAAAACCAAATATTAATGTTGACACACCACCACCAATAAAACCTTCCCAAGTTTTTTTTGGAGATAATTTTGTTAATGGTGTTCGACCATAGAAAAATCCAAACATATATGCCATTATATCATTACAAATAATTAATGATACAGGAAAAAGAAACCAGATCATACCTAAAAACAATTTTAATGTAATAGATATTACATAAATATGATTTGAAAGTTGTTCAAATAAGTATTATGATTTATATTACTTGACTTTTAGGGTTGATTTCATTTCAAATATCTAAAAAAAATTCTTTAAAATCTTTCTGTCAATACATTTATGAATTTAGCTCAATACCGTTTTTAATCCTTTACCACTTCGCACAAATTATCTAGTAGACACAAAAAGTTGTACTCATACAGTATTTTCTAATTTGTATAGGGCTGAAAAACTAATAGCTATCATAAATATCTATTTGAAAAATGGATTGTTGCGGAGCATGATATTATGGTTAGACACTTGCAAAGGTGGCTATTTTCAGATTAAAGTCAGGTATTGTGTTAGTTTTTATTTTCTTTTTATAATATGGAATCATTAGTTTTGATTCTGATTCGAATTACCCATTTCTATTGTTAAGATCGTGTTCAGAAGCAAGACCATAATACAAGCAGCATGTTTCTATCTTTTATCGATAAGAAATACATCAGAATAATTAGTCTGTATAAGTAAGTAAAAGTACAGAGATTTTTTTCACTTTTTTTAAAAAGATACTGTTTTCCAACTCATCAAACTTATTCAACAATTTGATAAAAAGAAGTTTGATCTATTTACGAACTTGTAGTTTATCCAAGACTCTACATAACTTTTTGAGAAACGTCTCGTTCTGATGCTTTATTACTGCACATTAGAAATGTACAAGACAAAGTTTTTTTGGTACCGATCCAGGGAATTTCTTTTCTAGTGATCCCGGCTATGACCTCGGTATATCTAATCTAGTCCCGGTGCTGGCCTAGAGAAAATTATTCTAGAATTTTTATGTATCATCTCTAAAAAAATCTTTCAAATACATTTATTTAGTCNTTCTTGTTGCAAGAGAATTTGTTTGATAATAATTTTCATAATGAAGATGACCTTTAGATGGAAGAATATCGTCTAAACGAAAAAAAAAAAAGACAATCCAATTCAATTTGAATAAAGTTTTTAATAAATGAAATGTAAATAAAATTTCTTCCTATCGATAAGATGAGAATGGGAAAAAAAAATAATTTTAGGTTTACTTTATGAGTTTAGATAGTTTTATTCCATGAAGAATATATGTTGTCGAACGAAAAACAAACAACTGTTGGCAACATCAACATTGCAAAATATCTATGAAACTATCTGCTAGTTTGGAATAAAGTCATAGACGAATATCACATCTCATACTCATAAAAGAACTTTTCGAGATACGATCTTCCTATTGTAATGTTTTTGTGTCTCTAGATATAGTACATAGTATTCCAATAAAAATGCTTTAAAGGATTTGAGTTCTTATTGGAATTTAGCGATGTTATAGAATTTTTAATAGATCTATTATTCAGAGATCTTAATAGGAGTATAGAAAAATTGTACACAAACATTTACTCGTACAGACATATGCTCGCTTGGATATCTCTCAAGTCTGTTGGATTCAAGATCCATCTGTCCTTTTCTAATCGAAATAAGATAAATGCCGCGAAGCTATGAGATATGGTTTTGCTGATTTTTTTGTATTAGGTGATAAATACACCTACACTATTCTTAGATGACTAGAACCTACGGGGGTCCGAGACCAACCCGACGGTCCTAGATGCTTCTGGCCTGAGACAGATGACCATGGAACAAATTCTATATTAAGTTTTGACTAGAAGATGCATAACAGTATCAACTCAATTACAATACACTCGCTACATGCTGGCATCATCATTGCTATGCCGAACAGTCAATCACAACTGTGGAAAGAAAGTGTTTCAATACACAACTAGACAAATTTGATTGCACATCCACATATAGATGCTAACAATCATTTAAACCATACGGAGCTCTTACTTTCTTCGTAAATTCTCTTTTGTAATTCGATGTGTTTATTTTTATTCAATTTTGCTGAATATTTCTCCAAAGTTATTTCAGTAAGGATCTATCCTAGAACGAGTGTTCGTGCGTAATTGTCCGGTTTCTCTCGGTTGGATCCAATGCATTAAAGTTAATGAAGTATTTCAGAATATTCATATTTAATATTGACAATCTATGAGCTTTTCAAAAAGTTCGTACTTTCCTATTATGTAGTGAAAGCTCTTATCTCAGATATACTTAACCTAAAAATACATTGTACAAGCTTTTGTATACTAAACATTTAAATGGAGACTGTTTTTAGAATGAATTTCAAAAAACATATTTCTCTATCAGATGATTGCATCTGATTATCGGCTCAATTATTAACATCTCTAACTTCTAAAAGCTATTGAGAACTATGTCTAACAATCTGGATTTTCTCCATGAATTCGATAGTTCCTCCAAATCCAACTGTTTTATAGAAGCGTTGCTAGAATAATATTATCGACAAAAAAATCATTGAGACCGGAAGGAAACATCTAGGAAATTGCACTCATATTTATTTATCTACTCGCAATAACTATCTAAGTTTTTCTTTTTAGACATATACAAGTACAACCACTAAACGAAAGAGTTTATGCTAGAAACTTTACAATAACGAGAAAAAAACATGTCAAAATCATGGAAACGATTAACCTTCTATCGAATCAAATTTGTATGCAGAATGAATAAAAAGTCACCTAACCATACACAAAACGGAACATCTTAGTCATAGTATCGCTGTTGGCTTCAACAAAAAATTCTGTACTCTCATAGACAATAAAAAAAGACAATGCGAGCAAATGTCTCATCCTTAGTCATGTATCTACAGTTATATAAGCTTAGAAAATAGCTAACACATCCAACAAAAAATGATGGATAAACAACACGTTGAATGACACTAAAAGGAAGGACATTACATAAGCATAGAGAGAAAGCAAGCTTGAGTATACCCGGCCGCACAGGAAAGTAAGAAAATATATGTCCTGGTTGCACCGGGGATCACTTTACAATTCTTTAGTAATAAATCATTTGACTTTTCCTTTTAGTTGATTACAATAACACTCCTGGTTTGTGATGAAACACTATGTAGATTTTTCTCAGTGAACTATTTATAGAATGTAATATTATTACCTTTATTACTATTAATAGTTTTATTTTGTGGTACAAGATCAAGATCAATTTTAACATGATTTGATTGCATACTCTTAATAAGTGATAACATTGTTTGACTATATGTAAAATCATCGAGATCTTCATCATCTGTATTTCCACTGTTAATTTTTGTTTTCTGACTTAGAATATCATCAGATTCATCTGTTTCAAAGCCATCTACACTAAAATCTGAATCATTACTTAATTCTTCATTAGTTTTTAATAATCCATTAGCTAAATTTGTTGCTAATAATTGACTCTGTGCAAAAGCAGCAAAATTAGTTAATGGAAGATTTGTTCCAGCTAACGAATCATTCGATGATGATGAACCATCACGTCCTTTCGTTACTATAGCTGTTGTATTACCAAAACCAAGACCTAAATAAACAAAATTGAATTCATTTAAAAATTGGTAATTTCTTTTTTTTTTCTCGTTACCAAGTTGTGTTAAATCAAATTCTTCATCATCATCCGAACCAGTTTCTTTATCTTTTGCTCCACTATCATCGGAATTATCTGAACCAAAATCTGTTTCTGAATCTCGTCGTGGTTTTCTTGATATTCTTCCACTACGTAAAACTTTTCCGGGTCGTTTTGGTTTTTCTTCTGTTGTTGTTACTGTTACTGATTTAAGTTTAACTGGTTTACGTTTATTTCTAACGGGTGGTTGATGTTGTTCATTTAATTTAGGAGATTCTATTTTTGGTTGAATTAAACGTTGATTTGATTGAAATGAACCTGTTGTTAAATGATTAACACCACGTGGTGGATGACCATGATGAGAACCACGTCCAGCTCGACCGCCATATAATGGTGGTCGACCTCGACCACGAGGACGTCCGCGAGTTGTACCTCGATAGACTCGATTACTTTCTACAAACAAAAACAAAAACACAAGTTATTAGTGCAATTCTTGTTAGATTAAATTGTGAAACACGATATAGATTCTATTGCTAATTATAAGAAGATTGTTTATGTATTAGAACAAGACATTATTAATATATGGTCTTCGATCGTATATCAACAACGTCTGTAACGAAGAGACGAGACGTTGAAGTGTTTACTACGATTTATAAGGAAGTGCATTAAAATTAGTAACTCTCTACTTTAACTCGGGAGCTGTGGATTCGGATCCGGGGCGAGTCTGGAAGGATCCATAGCTTCTTAACTTTAAAATTTCTTTTAGATCGTGTTTCACAAAATTTAATCTTTAAAACAAAAAAAGATATTTTTTTTTAATACCATATTTTCTAAATGGCATGTCGAATTCATCAATATTTTCTTCTTGTTGAAAAAAATCATCACCAAAATCATCATATTCATTATCAAGTAACATTCCATCTTCATCTTCATAATTATTACCAGTATAATAATCACGATAATAATTACTGCGTGGATAGGAAGTATTATTTGTTGGATACAAACGATTAGTATTAGTATTAGTATTAGTGGAATAAGTATTGTTTCGATTATGAGAAGGAAATCTATTCATTGTTTGATACTGTTCATAACGTTGCCAGATTGTTTCATCAATATCATTTTCATGTAAACGTTTAAGAGCAACTTTTGTTTCAGTATATATATCTTAAAATAATATATTAATATAATAGATTCAATAAAAAAAAACAATAAAACTCACTATGTACACGTCGTAATCGTTCTTCTAATAAAGATCTATTCGATGAATTAAATCGTGACACGGAGATTAAATCTAAGAAAGAAATTATATTTTAACATAAGAAGAATTTATTTAATTACCATTCGACACTGGCAATTCATTCGTATAGTAATTTTGTCCATTGATTTTCTACAAAAAAAAAAAAACAACATGTTCACTTTAGAAATCTTGTATTGAAGAACAAATTTGATTATGAATCGTTTTTTATTGATTGATCGTAATTTGATCAAAAATAAAAAAAATTGAAGTGGAGAAAAGTAAACAAGGTCTTAATCCAGAAAAAATACACTTTTTATTTTTGGTGTTATGCTCATACTTTAACAAAAAATCGTGCACATATCAATAAACACATTAAAAAGAAAGATTTATAACAAAATATATTTTGCAATCAAAAAAGAATAAATCATATAAATATTACATTGCGTCTAAAGGTATGAGTTTTTTTTTTATTAACTCACACTGGCACCCTTCTACAATTATTATTCATTTTTTATAAGGTATTACTCATCTAATTTTACTACTAATTATTAATATAGATCAACAAAAATAACAACCATAAACTATATATATATGACTTTTTTCGATCAATGAAAATCATTGGTTTATTAAAGAAAAGTTTTTCTTCTAAAATACATCACATTCTCATCAAATAAATACATTACTGTTTTTTTTTTCTACTACAATACTTTGTTATAATTACTTAAGCTCTTCTGTAAACATCTTACGTAACAGCTAATAGTTTTCTTTCATTAACTACAATAACATCATTTACCGAATACATAACACATAGCACTAGATTCATTTTCTTATCAGCTCTGTTGAAAAGTATTTTAAATGTTGAACATTATTGTGTATATGATTAGTACTAAAATGATTGAATAAGATTTGTTTTCAATTTTTTTCCCACTAACTTAATTGCTAGAAAGAATGAAACTAGAGGAGATTGTTTCTCAACAAGAAAAATGATTATCACATTTCCAGAAAATCAAAATCCTAGATTTTTACCACGTTTATTGCTTTATATAATTTAAACAAAATTATATTTATACGATATAGATGTCGGAGTTGACTTTAAAATTCAGTTGACTTTAAAATATTTTAAACTCAACTAGTTCTCTTTAAAATGCAACTAGTTGACTTTACAATTTATTTTAAAGACAACTAGTTGAGTTTAAAATATTTTAAAGTCAACTAGTTGCCTTTTAAAGGCAACTGAATTTTAAAGTCAACTCCGACATAGATAAAAATTGTAGATTTTTGATAATTATGTTTCTTGTTGAAAATAATTTCTTTCATTTGAATTCTTTATAGTGATTAAGTTAGCACAAAAAACAAAAATTGAAAATATATTGTATTAAATAATTTTTCGTATCTATTGTAAAACAGAAAATGAAAAGTTTTGCATAAAATAGAAAAGAAATCTTTCAGTCAAAAAGAAAATCATTAAGTTTTAAGATTACAATAAGTTTTTTTTTTCATTAACTTACTGATGAATAACCATAATTATTAGTTGAATGAACAAAAAATTCTCGTTTTTTAACAAATGGTTTTGTATCTTTTTCATCATTATCATTATCAACAATTCCATCTATCTGACTATGCATCATGAAAATATTATCTTTTGGTTTTATATTTAATTTCAACATATCAATAAGATTTTCATAATTATTATTCGTTGTTATTAATTCATCAAATTTATATGGTATTAAACCATCTGTAAACATTGATAATGATTTTTCATCATCATCATCATCATCATCTAATGTTGGTGCATAATCAATTACTGTTGGCATCATATTTGTCATTGATGGTGATCTATCCAATGGTATGAATGCTAAATAGTTTAAGAACAAAAAAATAAAGATGTTAATTTTGTTTTAATTTTTAAAATTAAAACTTACTAGCTTGAAGATCAGCTGTTATTTGCATACAACGTGCAATATCATTATATCGTTTTTGTAAACGATAAACTAGTAATTTTTCAGGTCCTGTTTCATCAAGATAGGATAATAGAGTATCAAATTGATCCAATGTAGAATAATATCGTACATCTTCACCAGTTTCATCTTCTCTGCAAAAAAAAATAAAACAATCATTTCATGATATAGAAAACAAAAAAAAGAAATTTGAAATAATTTACACAAATAAACGGCGACAAACAAACCAATATCTTCGTTGTTCTCGGTCATGACCAATACATCGATGACGTAAATAAAATGGTCGATTTTCTCGTGGAGGAATACAATCTGTTACACCATGTAGTTGATTTTGTACACAAACAGGACAAAACCATTCAACAGCTGGTACACTTGTCAATGGCGGATTAAGGCAAGCAAGATGATACGTTGCTTCACAACGATCACAACAGAGTAAATCACCACGTCTAAAAGTATTGATAAATATTTTAATGGAATAGTCTACGAAATAAAATTGTATATCTAGTACGAATTCTCATTTCACAAGAAAAAAGCAGGCGGTTGGAATTTTTTTTTGAAAGAAACAACATAGAATCTTATGTTTTTCACAATTGGAAAGATTAGCGAAGAATTTTGACTTGTGAATAACTAGATCTGAAACTTGACTAGTATCGTAGATTTTTCTTTCGTAATTTAGATGTACATGTGAGAATTGACAACTTGAATAAAACTTTTAATATACGATCCGATGCGTCTTCATCTCCTTTTTTCTGAAGATGGAAAACCATAGCTCTGTGTTTTGTTTCTATGAAAAGTTTTTTTTAAAATGAGGATTTAAGTAGTGATCATATCGAAGTTGACTTATGAGAGAATTTCCCCAACTTAAAAATTTCAAAAGAATAAGGATACCTAAGTTTTTATTACAGAGTTATAGATGTTTTACTAGAAAAAATAGCTATAACCCTATAAGAAAAACCTAGGTGTCTTTTGCGGATACGTCGAACTCAAAAGCCATTTTAAATTTGGGAATATTTCTTCGTTCGGATTATAGATGTACAGAACTACGAGAAAAACATTGCTCTAACCTAAACTAAAGATTATAGTTAATCTATTCTATGGTTTTAAGTAAATTATTCTTTCTGAGAAGATGAAGATGTCACTTACATCTGTAAACAGTTGCTTCCATTACTGTCTCATTTTCTAGATGCTGTCAGCATTCAATATCTTCATTTTTTGTGCGAAGAATAAGTTAGCTTATACTTTCATTCTATTTATCTTTTTTGATAATAAATAATGATAACGAGACTAATGGAAGGTCATTTCGCATTATCAAACGTCATATTTTGACTTTGATTACGTCAATACGAGACTTTCAATGTAAAGTCTTCTTGGATCGAGATATAAGTGCTACAATAATTCTTACGAAAGATGCTGTAGATTTACAATTTTAGATAAGATTATCGGATCAAACGTATGTTAGTTAAACGATGAAGTCTAACAATGGACGAGCTTGACCTTTAAGAACATTTGTTTGACATGTATTTTATTTAGTTTACGTTTGAAAGATATTAAAAATAAAGACAACTTACTTTTGACATTGTCTACAATTATCATCATGTTGTTTAGGTTTTGTATCATCAAATTCTCTTCGTATAGTTTTCGTTGTTAATGTAACATCACATAAAGCTGATAAAATATCAATTTTTTCTTGAATGCTCGTATTAAATGGATAATCTTTAACAATTGATGTAAAAATTTTTAATTGTGGATGAGATGTTACATATAATTGCAAAATATATGGCCATGTTATATAATCCATAGTAACAAATGATAGATCAATAATACCTTTAACATCGGTTTCTGATGCATATGTTATACCATCATCATCATCTTGTTTAATTAATAAACGAAGTAGACAAATATGAATTTGTGAAAATAATATATTATTAATATCAATCGATTGAATAATAGATGTACAAAAATGTTCAAATAAAAATGGTGTAAGACGTAATATTGATGAAAAATGACGTAAAAATTCATAAATTGTTGCTAAATGTAATGCTTGTTGTGATGTTACAGATAAATCATTTGAACTTATTGGTAAATTAAATATTTCATCATCAATATCTTCTTCATTATTATGATAATAATCAATTGATGAACTACATTGATCTTCTTCAAGATCATGTTCATTTGGATTTGTCCAAGATGATGATGGAAATGAATCTTCTTCATAATGTTGAGGTATTGGATGTGCTCGACGTTTTGATGTATAACATATTTCATTTTCATCTTCAAAATCAGATTCCATTGAACGTTGCATTTTCTATCGTTCTGAATTGAAAGAAAAAGAAACATAAAACATTTGGTTATATTCGTCTTCCATATTTATTCCATTGTTATACCTTTATGTGAAACCTCTACTGCTAGGCTAAGATTTTCAATAAATGAATAAAAATATTTTTTATTAATTGAGAAAAATAGGAAAGTTTGAAAAAACGAATTTCATAGTTTTCATATGGCGACATCTATAAAATGAAGATTTTTGTTTTTGAAATACTCAATTTGATGGATTGTATTTGTTTCTGATAAAAAAATTGTCAAAATTTGAGACTAATCTATAAGAAGCGGTAAAATATTGAACTCTGATAAAATATGGATATTTCATTATGACAATAATAGCAGGCGCGTCGAGCAAGAAATAAAATACATTTAACATCAGCTACTTCTGCAATACATACTATACTGCACGATACTCGAAAGAATAGAATGCACTATATACACGACGCTGAAGAAATCTACATTTGAATTTCAGAGCTTTACGAGTTGTGTATTATATTAAATTAAGGTTTGTGTTAGTTACATCAATTATCCGTGTCGATTGATATACATATCTGTCCTCGGCGGGTTACAGCCTAGCACGACACCTTGACGAATCATATTTTCTTGTAATTCTGCGAACAGCAATGCGGCACTGAATACGGCTATATGTGAGTCGTAATCTCATTATGATACGACCGTACATGAATGATATCGTTGAACCTGGATGATGATTTTCGGAGATGATATTGACTCGGGTCGAAAAGAAACTCGAACCAATCTAATCTCTGGTGTTTATTTTCTTGTAAATGCTCTCAATGATGAAATTAACGCATGTATTTACTCGCTTATTAGTTGATATTTCCCATTAGAGAATCGATACAAACATAATTTCTTGTTATTTAGATTATGAAAAGCTTAGTTTTTGTACATTTGCTGACGAAAAGAAAGTGTAAATATACACACGATTTATAAGAAAATATTGTGCTTTTAATTCCCATTGAAAACACTAATATAAGCTATCCCGTATACTTACAATTTCTGAAAGTGTATTTTAGAAATTATAATCTCAGTTCTATTCTAAGATACTTTGTAAACTAAAATAAAATTATTAAAATATATTTTGTTTTAGATTTCTATTTATAATTCGGAAGTAATAATTTGTGATTATTGATACTCAACAATGGCAACTGAAAATAAGACCGATGAATATATTAAACTCAGAGTCGTTGGACAAGATAATAGTATGCAATATCTTTTTTATTGTTTTTGCTTATATTAATTAACAATGAATTTAATTATAGGTGAAGTTCATTTTAAAGTTAAAATGACAACAAATATGGGTAAATTAAAAAAATCCTATGCTGAACGACAAGGTAAAAATTTTATTCATTTTTTACTTGTTATTATTATCCATTTCAAAAAAAAGACCCGTGGCCCTTTTTTGAATAACTTTTGATAGGAACCAGATAGAGAGGTGCGGTTTTCGCCACTAGAAAGAGAAGACTGAGGCACATCAATATATGCTAAAATATGATTGGTTAGCAATGGACCAATCAGGTGCATT